AAAATTATTCTTATTGTATGCAATTTTTGTGAAGAAAAAGAATACAGGAGCTGATTATATGCATATGAAGACACACACATTTAGTGTTTTCTTTTTTCCAAAAAGAAGCAATTGCAATTTGAAATAAGGATTAGTAAAATGTTTATGCAGATGGGGAGGGATAGAAGTAGGTGTGTGTGTGCATACTGGATATATGAAAGCAAGTTTTCTCTGAACACATTTGGTCTTAAAGTTTTGACTTTGGATGCAAATGTTTCATCAAAAAAAAAGAGAAACAACTAACTCTTGGTCACAGACAACAGTATGGTAATTGTGGTAAAGAGAGTGGGAGGAAATGGAAGAGGGTATATGGGGAATAGATAGTAATGGAAAAAAGTAAAAATTAAAAAAATAAAATTAAAACTTTGAAAAGCAGAATTTAGAAATAGAAAATAAGTAACAAGTGTGCTTAAAACAATTCCCTATTAATGGACTATCAAAAAAGTCTTACTCTTAGTGATTTTGAACAGAAAAGTTTGAGTGTTTATTTCTAGTGGAATATATCCAAAGGACAAAACTGGTTTCGAGATTTCCTTGTTAGGGTAATTAGATTAATTGTATACTTAGTTAGTATTGCAATTTTATTTTGCCTTTAAAACAAATTTTACCCAAACTACTCAGCGATAATAGAATGTAAAGAGCAATTGAGAGACAGGAAGGTGTTTCAAACCTTACAGTTCACAAATCTAAGCTCAAGTCTCAGATTTTGAATGACTGATTAATCCACTTATCCTCTCTGGGCATGCATTTTCTCATCTGCCAAATGAGGGTTTTAAATCAAATGATCTCAAAGTGTTCTAAAATCGACATTCTATAATTAGATGACCCAAGTTTATTTTTTCTCACTTCTCCCCAATTCCCTGACCCTTTGTATCCTTTCATACTAAAGAAGACCGACTGTATCCAGCCCTGCCCCTCCTCCATTTCTAAACATTCTTTCCCTCCCTTCCCCCAATCTCTCTCTCTCACACACACATATACACACATTCTGACCACATGGGTGAGTGCTAGAGGCAGGACACTGGGAAGCAATTTATAATCATATATACTGCTGCTGTCACCTTGCAGAGAGAGACAATTTATAATAAACAATGGACCTCTTAAAATTATCAAAGCAGTGGTCCTCAGCTCCCAGGGTCAGGTCCCCAGAGAGTCACTGATGGTTTGGAGGGTCTGGCTAACATTTGCATCCTGTGCTGCCTCCTCATAAAGTTCCCTCTCCTCTCTTCTCCTGGATTCTGTAAGGGCCACCCTAGGAAATGCCAGGGCACATTATTCCAAGGAATAAATGATGCACTGCAGAAAGAAAGACTTCAGTTTGGCAACTTGGATGAAAAACAAGGCTTTCGTTAAAGAGATGTTAGGTAGGTAGAAACAAAAATGTGGAAAGCAAATCAGGCAAGGGTATTTAGAGAAATAGGAAAATTATTTTCTTTCTTTTTTTTTAAATTTAGTTGCAGTGAAACATGATAGGAAAAACACTGAATTCAATGCATGATCAGTGTTCAAACCGAGACTCCACCATGCATTCAATCTCTGACTCTGTTCTAATGATCCAGGCTTGAATTTAGGGACATGACATGATCACAGCAGTAACTGCCCTCGCACTCATTCACCTGTCCACACCAGCACCTTAGGCCCACCACCATTGGTGATGTTTTTGAAATTGAGGGATGGGTTCAGAAAAATGGAACAAATCACAGCCAAATTAACCCACTACTTTTAAGCCATTCGTTTACAGGTGTTTTCTTAATCTATTTTTTCATCCAGTTTTTTGAGGTCAGTTGGAAGGTCTACCATTAATCTTGGATAGAGACCATCATCGAATGAGTTGCCGGTGCTAAACGTTCAGTGGGTCATTTACTCTCACAACCATCTTGATGGGGAGGGTTTATTATTCTGATTTTACAGATGGAGAAAATAGGATAAAGGAAGGGAAATCAATTTTATCCTTGAACATACAACTATTAAGTGACCAAGCAGGTATTGGAAGCCAGATTTGATTATTCTCTCTAGTATTTATTGATTTCATGATTAATGTATTTTTCCAGAATATTACTAAAATATTGCAGCTAAATATCATTAAAATAGACTTAAAATTGCAATAAAAACATTTTTGGTTTGTATAGCATGAACCAGGGCATGCAACAAATACAAACACTGACTAGTATTCTCTGACAATATCACAAAATTTCTCTAAAATCAGTAATAGGAAGTGAATTACATTTTTTGCCCCTATTTCCAAAAAAAAAAAAATCAGTAAAACTACATTGCATTCTCTTGTACAGTAAGTAAAATAAGCATGCTTTTATTTTTTGGGTTACATATGGAAAGTGGCTCTGTATAATTTTAAAAATCGCATTTTTCTTCAATCCTCCCCAAAGCAACCCTAGCGGCATTTCTCCTCAGTTTATGTAAAAGTCCTCTAGTCCTCTTAGTAGAAATTTAGGCATCTATCTGTGTACCAGCAGAGGGAGTGAAAATCTAAGAAGAATATGTGTTTTTGTTTGAAATATAAGACCTTAAAAAAGGCAATAGTTAATTTTCTGACCCAGAACCAACTGCAAAAAAACATGCTTTTAATGCATACATTCTAGTCTAAACATTATATCTTTTCTTTCCATCTTCAGTTGAATGCATTGACATTTATAACTAGAAAGTTTATAAAGACAAATATGAGGAGAAAAGAATTAGTACCACTGTTTTCCAAAAAAAAAAAACCAAAAAAACATTTGATGTGTTTCTACCCCAGGCTTGTCTGATGGTTTCTACAGAGCCACGTGTTAAGAAGGAAGGCTTTAATCTGTAAAGATGAATTTCAACCTCAAAACCCCCACTGGTTTTAATGGGAGTGACACAGCTAACATGTCACAACAGACTTTGGAAAGGTACCCCTGAGTGTCCAATTATTTTAAGTGCTTTTCCTATTCAATGTCGCTCAACTGATCACAGTGGATTTATTTGGCAATAACATTCCTCTGACATGAACTTCCGGAAGAATCGCTCCATAATTCAACTCTAGTTAATGTTGCCTTAAAAATTAAGTGTTTCCGTAAGTTTTAAATAGATAACAGTACTTTCTAACAACTACATTCTTGAATATAAGTATATCATTTAGACAGGGTTCAAAAAAATTGGCAAGAAAGGTTTTTCCTTTTCTAGTTAAAATGAAAAAAAGAATGTTAAAAGAAAACATCCTGTCATAGGTCCTGGAAAAAATTCCCAACCTGTAACTGGAGATGTAATCATGTTTTAAATACTGCCTCAATAAATGCAAAATGCTCAGTTTAATATTTATCTCTAAAAAAAGATTATTGAGTTCTTAGTATGATTAGTAATCACTCCTCATTCTTCTCTGAAGTGTTTTTCTAGGATTATTATGTGTTCCAGGTCCTCGATTTTATAATGTCAATTTTAATTTCATGATTATTATACATGGCACTAATCCAGTTCCCCAAGTATGATCTCCAGTGGGCATAGCCCTTTACCTCTGGGTTTATGCATGCTTCAAACCAAACCCCCTACTGCTACACTGCTACATTTTTTCATGCAATAATGAAGATACCAGTGAATGAAAACCTTTCATTATACTCAAAATAAGAGAGTGTGTGTCTATTTAAAATAACAGGAAAGACTGTTTACTTTTCTTTTTGTTCTTCTCAAGGTCACCAGGATTTATGAGCCGTATAGATGATGGACCATACAATCAAGCGAGAGTGAGACACAGACCTGGTATTCATATAAGATAATATAAAGCTAGCAGGTGCCTGTCTGCTTGAAATCAGTCAATAATTTAGCAGAATTTATAGATACCTGTGCTTACTCAAGACTGCGACTACAATTATTCTCTGCAACTTCACCCAGGCAAGAAGATGCTATTTCTATATCATTCAAATGAACACAAGGACTATGTCACTCTTCTTTCCAATTGCTCTGTCTGTGTTACTAAAATAAATAAAAACAGGCATCAGGCATCTGACTGTGCTATAGAGCAGCAAGAGGCCTTGAATTTCTGTTCCTGGGGACAAGGCCGAGTTCATGAGAACATAACACATATAACTACCCCTGTAAAAATTAACTGATGTCAAATCCCCATGCAGTTGTAACTTTAAAATGTTTGGGATAATTTCCATCTCTTCATGATTTTCGGAAATATTTTCCTTGCTTAAATTATGAATAACAGAGAGAGTCTAAGAAGTCCAAGTAGACTTTTTATTTCTGTTTTCAAAGAAGAAAAGTAAAACAAAAATGACTATCAGATGAGCGGTCTGATGACTTTTTAAAGCTTAATAGCTTCAGCATGATACAAAATTCAGTATTTCAAAATGAAGTGTCCACCTACATACTTGGCAAGTTGCCAACGTCTAGACTACCACAATGGCAAATTTACAAAAGGATGGGAAAAGTGAAATTTTAATCTTATAAGGTCAAAAATACCTAGAAGGAATCTTTATTTTAATTTGAACTGTGATTTATCTCACTTTTATTAAATTCAAAAGTAAAATCATATTAACTAAATATACTTAGTGACTTGAATTTACCTCAAAACTTCTAAGGAGGAATTGAGTAAAGTTTTAGTAGTTGAGCATTGATGCATCAAGAACTGCATATAAATCACGTAAATGAAGGCAATTGCTACTACTTTCCTTTTATAAATGAGGAAACTGAGGCATAAAGAGGTTAAGAAACTTGCCCAAGTGGCACCGATTCTAGGTGATAGATAGAGCTGGGATTTGAAACCCAGGGGTCAGACTCCAGAGTCTGTGCTGGCAGCCCACACTATACTGGCTGTCTGTGACAAAGTGTCTGCGACACCCCCGTCCTCCATGGCCATTGTTTGTATTCCAGTCATCTGCATTACTGCCGGAGCTCTCACAGACGACCACAGACACAGCTATGGGTGTGCTTCTGTCTGTCACTGTTCTGAACCTTGGTGTGCTATTCGCTCCCCTGTCTTTGTGGAACAGAAACAAAAGTGAACACCTTGGTGACAAAATCAAGTGCACAGGGGCCATCTGACTCAGAAAAAAAAAGTGAAGGCAAGTGCCTTAAATATTAGGCCTTGATATTGCACCTGAAATAGCCTCCATCTGCATGTTATAAAATATTATAATAGACATATAACATAATAGACATGTTATATTAACATTTCATAAAAACAACAAAAGAGACAGCTCTCATGCTGTGAAGTTAAGGGAGCTGTCATAGCCCACCCTCCCCCTAAAGTTAAGAAAAATGAATTTCCCACGGAATGAGTAAAAGGGTCATGGGCTCATATCACAGAGATTTGACCGGGACAGTTAAAAAGGAACGGATATCAAATTTCTGTCAGATTGATTAAAACAATGCTTTTAAAAAAAGAAGCAAAGAAAGAAAAGCAATAACATATTTCAGATACTGAAGGAAAGAAAATGTGAGCCAAGGATTTTATATGTAGCTAAACTGACTTCCAAGAATCAAAGCCAAGGACAAACTGTTATCAGCATGCAAAAAAGTCAGATATATTGTTCCCAGTGGAATATACTAAAGAACAACCTCAGAAAACCATAATGATTGGAGAGACAATGGTGACAGGACTGGCTGCCTGAATACCAGTGCTAACCTCGCAGAAAAACGAAAAAATACAACACAAAACAGTATGCTCCTCCTGACAATAGACTACAATACCATTTATAAAGTGATCTTCTCCCTCAAGTCAAACCTGAATCTTATCTAGACTGTAGGTCCTTCCAGTAATTCATAGAAAGTACAGAGGATGTCAGCACATGTTAGGCTATGCCACAGGGCTGCAATCAGCAGAACCCAGAAAGTATGTGTGTGTGTGTGTGTGTGTGTGTGTGTGTGTGTGTGTGTGTGTGTGAAGGAGAAGAATGATTCCTTCAACAAATTGCAAGGAAAAAGAAAAGAAGATTGAACTGGCACTTAGGGTTAAAAGAGAGTTAATGAATAAAGCAACAATTGCAATGTAAGGACTTTATTGCATCCATATTAAAAAACTAAGCTGCAAAAATGTTATGACATTTATGAGACAATGAGGACTTGAAACATTAAATGGAGAGCCCATGATATAGAGCAATTCTTTTTAATCAATATTTATATGTGACATTGGTTAGGTAAATATATAAAAGAAGGGGGAAAGACTTATTCTTTAGGTAGGATACTAAATTGTTAACAGGTCAAATGAATACACCGATACAATGTCTGAGTCTTGCTTCACACAAATTTTGTGGGTGTGGATGTGGGTGTGAAAAGGGTGTGATCAGTCACGGGGTGATGTCTGTTAGGGTATATGATGGGTCCTAGGTGCCTATTTTTGTCCTTGTTAAAAGCTCACCATAATAGAAATGAAATTGAAAATGAAATAAAGACATTTTCTGATGAAGAAAAGTTAGTAGAATTCATTATCTACAGATATGTGATAAAAGTAGCACAAAAGAGGGTTTTCGAGAAGGAAAGTTATCCAGGATGAACACACGATAATGCAGGAAGGAAAGAAGGTCCCTGGAAAAAGCAAGTAAGTAGATAAATCTGAATGAATACTATTTAAGATAATTGTCTTGTGGGGTTGGACACAGAGTTAAAATGCCCGACAAAAAAATTGAACAAGAGCTAGGAAAAGAATTAATGGAAGTAGTCTCTGATCCTGGCATTATCGGGGAAGTAATAAAAGTGCCGATTTATATATGCAACTGATGAATGAAGGATGTAAGTCACCATATGTAGAGCAACCTCTTTTCTTTGGAAGATTAGAGACAACAATGACTGATGTATTTGTATTTAGAAACAGTGACACTATTGAAATGCATTCCTTTGGGGCAACTGCCCCTTGCAGTAAACAGCCCTTTTTGTCTTGCTAATACATTCCATTAGAAATGGATGACAGGGAACTAAAAATGGTTGAAGAGATAAAGACTGTTGTAACAAGATTGAACTCAACACTGTCCACACTGGAAGAGATACAACTGCCAAGGAAAGGCCATCAAGAATGACCACACTAGAACGAATGAAGGGAGCCTGCGCCCATCTCAACCAAGACCGGATTCCTTTCCCTTTCACCCCTCACCAGGCTAGGCTTAGTAAGGAAACGTTTGTTTAAAATTGGAAGTGTTGGGGGCATATTTCCATTTCTTTGTCTCATGAAAACAGTAATATACAGAAATTTAACATGCAAGTATGGCTCAATACATTCTATTCAGGTCAATGAAATTAGATCTAGAAGAAACCATAGGTAATTTAGATTCTTCAGGAACCTGGATGAATAATGAAAAGATGTGAATGTTTAAAAATTGGCATAACAACCCTGCTTATGTGGGGGTTTTAGAATCCCTGCATGTAACCACCACTTATAATTGCACAGACCTTACTAGTCTCACAGAAATGACTTGATTGGATCCTCATTACAGTCTACTAAGGTAAAGGGAAACAGTGTTATTATTTCTAACTTTTAGATACCAAAAAGGAGGCTTTGAAAGAATGAGTAACTTACTTAAGGGCAAATAGATACCACTGATTAAGATAAGGAAGTGGACATACAAATATTTAAATAAGCTAAATTGAATTTATTTTGTTTCAGCATCCTTGGTCCAAATGCCTCACACTCAGAATGACATAATATTTCATGCTCTTTGGATTTACCAATCCCTTATGTTGTCTTCTGAAATGAAAATAGCAAATAACATGGATGTTTCTCATTACCAATCACTTATGATGAAGTTTGATTTTTTTTAAGTGAGAAATATGTAAACTAGAGGTCTGCCCACACATTTAATGAGATTGACTATTTATAGGTCAATGTCCTCAGATAACATTTTCTAAGGTTTTTTCTATGTCAATAATTTTAATTTATTTAGAAATTTTTTAGTATGTTAGGAGGAGTGGCAGAGACTAGGAAGTCTTAGAGAATTAGTACTCTTCAACATACAGGAAACTTTATTATATTCTCATTTTTTTATCCTTTCTTTCAAAGTTTCCACCCCTTCCCCCCTTGGCTACATTCTGTCTCACTTCTCTTAATCCACTATTGAGTAACTTTCTTGCTTTATACAATCTGCTATGAAGTCCAGCTACTCAATTTTTACATTTTTATTCCTAGAAATTCCATTTCTTTTGCAAATCTTCAATGTCACTTAAAATTTTGTCCCTGATATGTCAATTTATTTGCAAGATCTTCTTTTATTTCTCTGAATATATTAAAAATAGCTGTTAAAATCTGTGTTAATACTCTTGGTATCTGACATCTCTGCAAGTGAGATTAATTTGCCCATTGTTTCTGCTCATTTTCCAAATAAAATTGCTTGTTTCCTTGTGTATCTGATTTTCTTTGATATATGATGGTCATTGCTGTTGAAAAACATAGTTGAGGCACAGATAACGATCATTATTTTTCCAGTAATATTTGTATTAGTTTTTGTCAGATACCTGGAACATGGCTTTAACATACATTCATGGCTTGAAATGTCTTGGACAAACCTGTACATTTTGGCTGGAATTATCTGTGTGGGCTGATGTTTCATTTAAAAACAATTAGGGACCCATTTTGTTTTTTATCTCCTTTTAATTTTTCTATTTACCTAGCAGCAGACGCTTTCCCCTACATTCTAGTGGGAGTGTTGGCGAAGGGGTGAGTTTGTCTGTTTGCCCCTTCACTTCTGAGGGCTCAGACTAACTGATAGGTCTCCCCATCTTTGGCAGACCCTAGGCTCTTACCTCTACCCCCCTGTCTCTGAACACAGCCCAACACATCACTCACTCCACAGCTGTCTCTGCAGGACTGCCAGGAGCCACATATTGAAAGCTGATTGGAGTATTACTTTAATTTTCCATCTCCTTACTGTCTTCAAGATTTAGCCTGGTGATTCCTCATTATTTTGGCATCTCTCTGAAGCTAGTAAGACAGTTTTTATATTTCATTCAGCAGTTTTAGTTTTCCTTAGAGAGGAAGTTAGTCCAGTAACCTCGCCTATTACTCCTAACGCAGGAATCTCAGCAGAATTTGACATAACTGATCACAACCTTCTTGAAACACTTTCTTCATTCTCTTTAGGGACCCTGCACCACACCCTCCTGTGGTTTTCTCTTCTGCCTTCCACATCTAATTTGCTGCTTCTTCCTGATACACCCAAACACAAATAATTAAAACTGCACAGGGCTCAGATTTTACAGTGTCTTCTCTCTCTAGACTCATTCCTTCAGGTCTCAATTGCTCCTACAGCTTCAAATAACGTCAACATGCTAAGGATGTGCTCATTTATATCTCCAGCCTGGACCTTTTCTCAGAGCATGTATTATAGCTAACTTCCTCCTTGACATTTTTACTTGAAGCTCTAATAAGCATCTCAACATCGACGTTAGAAAATGGAACTCATGAACGCCTGGCTCCCCAAACCTGCTTACACTGCTTCTCTTGACTTCACATTCAGAAGTAAAAATCTATTTAATTTTTTTCTTTATAATGAAAACACCATTTTTTAAATAATTTTTAAAGTAAGTGTGTAATATTTGGTTTAAATCTCAAGTTAACCAATTCAAGACTAAAAGATATAAAGGAAGATACCATTTTAAATTTTAAAGAAGGATAAAATACAGATGTGAAGTAGTATCATCAATATTGCTCATTTAGATCATGCATTCAGAAAGGATTTAAAAACATATAAAATATACCAATTAGTACTCAGCGTTAGGTTTTCAAAGATGCGTAGGTGATATCCCTGCTTCTGATCTCCTCACATTCCTGTAAAGTGAGGGCATATAAATTTCATCCTGGAAGTAGTTTAGAGCATTCTGTCATGAAAGACTATGGGATCAGTGAGACAAATCACCTTAATCATGTCTCTCTTTTTCTTTAATCCTCGCCTGAGGACGAGCTTATTGATTTTAGAGAAAGCAGGAGGGAGGGAGAAACAGAGAGGGAGAGAAACATCAGTGTGAGAGAGGAACACTGGCTGGTTGCCTCTCCCACACACCCCGACTGGGGACTGAACACACAGCCCAGGTGTGTGCCCTGACCAGGGATTGAACCCCTTACC